GCGCTGCGATTTTGTGTATGTTTTTTCGTCTTTCGGTAGTAAAAGCCAGTCTCGGATCTGTAGAGTTCTCAGTTTTCGATCTCTAGCTGGGGCACATGCCAAGTTTTGGGTGTAAACTTAAGTGTTTGCTATAATGCGTGCTGTCGCGTTCGTGTCGGCGTGAAGTGCACGGGTGTACAACTGTTGCCTCGAATTTCCTAATAGCAATTCTACCAAGAGAGTGCCAGTGCTGGAGCGCGAATCGATCCCTACAATTTAAGTTTCGATTTTACTACTTTAGGCCGCCCCCATGCAAACCGGTATGCAATATTAGTAGCAAATGTGAAGAACGACAGCTATAAAGCGGTAGTAATTTTAAAAAAAATACTAAAACAGTAAATCGTTCTGGTGATATGTGTACAGGTGGTGTTATAAGCGATCTCTCGAGCCCAATTATCATGCAGACGTTGGTAATCTAAAAGGTATTGAAGTTTAAAGAATTAGTGTAGTGTTTTTACACTAGGTACCAATGAATGTATGAATTCATTAAGTGCAATTATAAGGTTTAACGTTGCTGCTTTAGTTGGAGGAAGCCTTCTGATTCCATTATAGTGCTTCTGACTACATTCTTTTCGAATGGTAAATAAATACGAACTTAAAGATCATAGACACACGTTAGCTGCGTTCAAAGACGTGCCTTGAGCGGTAGACGGTGTACAACCCGGGTCTAAAGCTTAAACAGGCGATCGTATAGTAACGAGCATTATATAACCAAAGCCTTTTTTACAGAGATAAGAAGAGCGCTAAGTCCGTTTCCTTCCTACCCACCGTATTCGCTTCGCCATATTCTAACTCAACCCAACTGCTCATGGCTCTACTCTACTCATATGTTTAATTGACCGAATAAAAATCTGGTTTTACCGTTTTATACCCGTTGCTTTATCACACGCCACACTTGATGCCTATATTACTTCAAACGTTTTGCAAATTCTTTTAATTACAGTAGTCTTGACCATTTTTTACTTTATAGCGGTTCGTAGACTACCGTAAAATGGCACTTGTTTATGTACTACGGGAGTTTGGCTCAATTGTGAAAAACTCGGCGGCTGGGTTGGCTGTTGCAACTGAATTACGAAGCCAACCCAGCCGCGAAGGCTTTAATACGACCAACGTATTAACCATGGTTAATACGTTGGTCGTATCGAAGCCTTCGCCTCGCTGGCGTGGGTGCGAATTTCATCGAAGTCACCGAGTTTCTCACAAATTTGTCAAATAAATGACTTATTTATTTGTCTCGTGGCAACTTCGACCTAATAAGAGTTCATGAAACTGTGCTTAGTGCTACCACGCCAACGGTTTCATTGGAACCCCATATCTTCATGGCCAACAGTGAAGTTGAAATGTCAACTCTAAGATACCTGGTTGATTTTTATTGCCACTTTATTATAACTAGTCTTATATATACCTTCACATCACATTTGTGGTCATCTTGAACTCGGTTAGCCCACAATTAAATTTAGGATTGTCCCCTCTATAAACGTCTCTCGAGTTTTGGGCTTTAACTGAACAAAGTGTGGCCAATGCTGATGGCAATCTCACTCTTTTCAAACAGAAGATCGATACAGGAGTTCATTTCCGCGCAGCAGGAACGTTAACTGGTTCATCAGGCGGAACTGGATCAAAGTAGCACCATGCCTGATAGCTTTCGAAGATTGCACAGAGAGACGAGGAGTTATACAGATGCGTAGAGTCGTCCTACCTTTTTCCTCAGAAAGTGCCAATATAAATATAAATATCCGAAAACCGCAAACTACCACCGCTTTTTTAATCTGTGCTTTTTACACGACATCCATTTAGCAGATGGGACTGAGATGGGTTATCGTGTATTTTATTAATCTTGCTTAACTCCACTTTTGCAAGTAAATACTTGTGAATCCTTTAGTCAGGCTGACTACAATTGGCTTTTCTATTCGCATAAGTCTAGGCTAAATTTTGACCCATGCAGCTTTTTGACTTTTCCTTGTATGGATTTCGATGAGGTAATAACATTATTCCATTTCATATATCCTTGTGTATTCCACACTTTATAACAGCGTTGGCCACTTGATCGACTTGGCTCTAGAACCTAGCTCTAACCAATAACAGTATTCGTGCAAGAATTCACGATTGAACTTTTTCGGGGGTCTATAGACAGTCAACGTTGTTAGTCTAAAATCGCTTCATGTATCACTGTAATCTGGATTTCCGACTGCTTCGCCCTTCTTTTGCCTCACTTGGTCAAATAAGAATCTTGTTCTTTT